TGCAGCGCCGCCTCGCCTCCCCCTCTCGGCTCCCAGCTCCGCCCTCTGGCCGCTTCCGCCTCCCTCTGCGGGGTGGGGGTGGGTCGGAGTCATGCCCGCCTCCTTCTGCAGATCCACAGGGCCCTGGCTCTATGGGGACAGTGAGGCTCGTACACAATATGTGCAAAATGAGTTTTGTACAAGCAAAGTTGAAAGACACCCGTTTGACAAAGGTCCTTTCGGTGAGGGCTACCACAGGAAGCGGAGGGTCTCTTGTGTGCCCAAGGGGAAGGCTGGCTCCTGGCACAGGGCTTGACATACCGCACGGGAGGGCAGCAGCCTTCTCTGGTGCTCCCTCCCCGACCCTCCCACCTCCTCCTCTCCCCTCTACCTCCCTGGACACAAACTGGGGTTGCTGCTTTTCTTCCCCCGAAAAGCTCACTCTCCGTACCACCCAACTCTGTGTCTTGTCCCAACGAAATGAATGAAGACGCTGTTCCGTTAACTCCAGGTCACGAGAACAGTGAGGCACTTCTGAAACGAACCCTTTAGGAACATTGAGACAAATAAAAAACCCAGCATCTCCCAGCCCCGCTCCTACAGGCTGCTGACGTAGGCTCTGCTGTCCTGCAGCTCCTCCTCGCTCCTCCGGCACTCCTGGCTGGGCCCACAGGGCCCGTCCTCTTCGCCCCCTGCTCTGTCCTGCCCCCGGTCCCTGCAGTTAACAAAAGGTAATAGGGTGCCGTTGGGGCTCTGCTGGGCGCCCCCACTGAGGATGTTGTCAGCAGCGTTCTCCATCTCCTCTATGGTCATGTCACAGGCGTCAGCCAGCTCCTGGGTTGTGACCTCGATAAACTTGGGATCTTGGGCAAACTGCCCCAGTCCTTCCGAAATCAAGACCTGAAGGGGGGAGGGCCGTGAGGAAAAACCAAAGAGGAACATTATTCCTGCAGCTCAGATCTCTTCAGGGTTAGAGTGAGGGGCTTCTGACTGGAAACTTCAGGAGTGTGTGTGTGTGTGTGTGTGCGCGCGTGTGTGTGTCCTGGGGTGCTCAGAGGAAAGGAGGGGAATTCGGGATGTGTAGGCTGGGGAGAGACCTTTTGGCTGGGGTAGTTGAAGACTGATACCCAAAACATGGAAACTTAGCTCACGGAGGGGCCGCAGGGATGTGGTCTCAGAGCTAGAACCCTGTCTTTTCTCCTCCTGGGCACCCTATGTTCTTTCCAAGAGACCTTCATTCTCCTTTGGTGAAACTGTTTTGCCCGTGCCCACCGTCCATTGCCACCCGCTGCCTGTCTGGGGGTGAGGATACTGAGTATGAATTGTGCAAACACCGTGCACACACCCGCCTCTCCTGCTTCTGCTGGGAAGGGCCAGCAGGCAAAGCCAAGGCTTCACCCTCCTGCCCTGCGGCTGCCTTAGTGACTGCTGTGGGGAAATCAGACACTGGGCCGGCGGGCGGGGGAAGCAGTGCGGGGAAACCTGGAGCACTGCTCTCCCAGTTCTGTCTGTCTGCTCCCGTTACTCTTTCTCTTGCATTATTTTTCTTCATTGCTCCACCCCTTCCCAACATGTTTGTTTATAATGTCTTTCCTCACCACAGCGTGAGCTCATGAGAGCAGAAACGCTATTCCTCAGCAGTGGCCCCGCACCTAGAACAGAGCCTGCACGCGTGGCAGGCACTCAGTGGAGAAGTGTGGCCTGAATAACAGGTAACCAAGGCCACTTGAAGCGCCTTAGAGTCCGAAGGCACCTTAGAAATCATCTGGTTTAATTCCCCACCTCCTGCGCTACGTGACTGGACAGGCATCGTCTCTGCTTGCACGTGTCAAGTGACAGGAGGCTCACTACTTTACAGGAAAGCCCTCCTCATTTTGGAAAGATCTCCTCATGGGAGCTAAAGTCTGCCTGCCTGTCAGGTTGATGTAGGTGCTACAGTCCTGCATTTACAACCTCTTGCCAAGGACAGGGGACCCTTCCAGGGTTGAGATGCATATCATGGCTGCTGCTTCTTTTTTTAATCCTTACTCAAGGATATGTTTTTATTGATTTTTTAGAGAGAGAAGGAAAGGATGGAAGGGGTGAGGGAGAGAGAGAAACATCGATGGTTGCCTCAATTAAGTGCACTGACTGGGTGAACCTGCAACCTTTTGGTATACTGGACGTCACTCCACCCAAGTGAGCCACCTGGCCAGGGAAGCACAGCACGGCTTTGTAAGTCACCTCCTCTCCAGGTTTGTTTCCCGAATTCCTTCAACCAGTTCTCATAGGAAATTACTTCTAGGGACCTTGCCAACCCAGTCATCCTCCTTTGGGGTGGTTGCAATTTGTCAGAGGTGCCCTGAGATGTGATGCCAGGACTGCAATAGGTGCTCTGACCAGGGCGGAGCACAGTGGACCCGAAAGTGCTCTTGTTCTGGACTAGAGGCTCTCAACCCTGGCTGTGCGTTAGAATCATCAGAGGGTTTTAAAAAATACCCATTCAACTGGTCACACGTTTCCAGAGCTCCCCAGCTGATTCTAATGAGTGAGCAGGCTTGAGAACCAGGTATGACTTCCTAGGTGCACACAGGCCACCCACGCTCACGTTTGGAGCCGTCACAGCTGGCCTCGGGCATGAACAGTGGAGCCCTGCAGCCTTTCTCAGGCTGCACAGGCCTGCTGCAGGGATGTGCCGTTCACAGGTTCTCTCTCTGAACCAGCCCAGCCCCAACAGATGCGAATAGTGTCTTGTGTGGTTAGAATTTCCTGCCTGCCATGCCATCCTGCTTCAGGCCCTCACATCGAGGGTCCTTCTGGCCAGGAGACTTGACATCCAGTCCACTTGGGAGAGAACCAAGTTCTTCCTTCTTGATTCTCCATGCAAACCCCTCTCTGCCTCAGACCTTTCCTTCCTCTGCCTGCTGCGCTGCTCCGAGGCACTTACCGCTTCCACCAGACTGCTGGCGCTACCGTGGAACTGCCTGCCCCAGGCACCCGCCTGGCCGGGCACAGTGAGGGACACAGGCCGGGCTCTCCGGGTGGCGCTGCTGCCACCCTCACAAGGCGTGGGCTCCACGGACCAGGAGCTGCAGTGGACGGACGGGAAGCTGCTGTTGAGTTTCTCGCTGGACTCGGTTCCTTCGAGCTGCAGGGTGGGGATGGGCTGCGGGGGCCAGCCTCGGCTGCCGGGCATGGCAGGGGGCGTGGCACATGGCCTGGGGAAGGTGGTGGGAGAATGGCTTCTCTGGAGGAGGGGGCTCAGGCCTGCCACTGCCAATGCCTGCGGATACACAAGGAGTATGAATTACTGGGATGGCCAGGCCCCGAGAGGCAGGCTTCTTAGGGGCTACTGTTTCCAGCTAGTTCCACCTGCCTGAAACTCCTACCACCCTCATTTTCACCCATCTGAATCCTACCTCATCGAGACCAATGTAAGTTTCAAAGCATCCTAAAAAACATTTTCTGATTATCTCAGTCTGAAGTGGCCTCTGTCTCTTCTAAATTCCAAAAGCTGTGACAGACCGGAGTCAAGGTCACCTGCTCCTCAGCACTGGCTCTGTCCCCAACAGTGGTGAATTCTCCCCCTTTGCCTTCCTTGTCGGTAGACTAGAGAGGATGGCACCTGTGCCACCTGTACAACCAGGACACAGTGCCCGCTGTCTCCTGGCCTCGTGGGGTTGATGTGAGGTTAAGTGAGGGAGGGTCTGTGAGAAAGCACACTATGTACCCAAAGAGCTAGACTAAGCCAGTGCTTACTGTTCAAATTTTCACAATTAACCGGGCTGTTAATAATGTCTTGCCAATCTCCAGCTCACCTTGTTTTCGGACTATTGTTCAAATCTTACACGGTATTGTGAGTAAAGTATTTATGTGGTTGTCTCCTCTGCCCCCACTGCTTGAGTGTCCTGAGGACGGGTTGTGGTCCCCACAAGAGCTGCCACAACAACCTGTTCTGATGTGCTGCACCCACAGGACAGTGACAAGCGTGGCGGGAAAGCCAGCCTGAGAGGCAGGGAGAAGGGGAATGGGAACCGCGCTGCGTGGGTGGGAGGGCAGTAGGAAGGCACAAAGGGAGGAGGGAAGTAAAGAGGAGTTTCTTGCCTTTCAGAATGATAAAACAGATGAGTGAAATCAACTTCCGAGAATCTTTAAAAATATCACACACAGTGTCCCCCCCAGCCTGCCAGCTGCCACTGGCCACTGCTCTTGATGGTGCCCAGCCTGGGATTCCCTGGGCCCCTGGAGGTCACATGTATGCAGGCAATGCCACACGGGCCAAGCAAAGCAGTGCATTTCTTTAAGATGAAATAACAGCTACTTAGTCAAGTCACTCTGGCCATCTTACGCTGATTATGCCCTTTGATTGGCAGTTGAATGCCTTTGGATAAAAAAAAAAATATATTGAAAGCATAGGCCTGTGGTAAGGGAGTATATAATTAAAGAGGTAAAAAGTGTAGGAAACTCTAGTTTAGAGCCTAATTTTTCTGGAGTAGGAGACTGCCTTAGGTAGTTCTTCAATGTTCCCCTTAGTTCTGAGACAGTAAGAGTGTTTTTGATGCTGGTGTCTTGGATGTCACTATCCAGAGTCATTCATGCTAAGAGAAAAATGTCAACTCTCAAACCTCCCTGGACCCATCTCCTGGGATATCACTCCCTACTCCTGACCCTGTAGCTGGCTAGTTCTTTGATTATTTCTGTATTTCAATGGACAACTTTTGTGCAATTTAATTTCCAGGTGCTTTGCCACTCTAGGTAGGACCACATCTGCCTGAGTGCCCTGAGGTATAAGCCAGTGTCCGAGGAGGTGACATCTGTGCCACTGTAAGAAGAAAGCTCAGGTGGAATCCTGGGACTAAGGGAGGAGCTCCTGCTCCCCAGTATTTCCTAGGTCTCCACCATGGGAAATGACAGACGTTGTTAAGGTTCTCACCTGTGTAGAAAAAGCCCCCTCATCCGGGGGCTGCTAGGATCAGGGCTGGGGATACAGCAGTGGTCTGAGACAGGGAAGACTGGTGTCTTGGGGACTTTGTCTAGTCTACTGGGTGGTGGCCAGTGGCCTGTCTAAAGTGTGGGCTACCTGGTGATGAACCAGATGTAAGGGCAGGACTGTCTTCTGAGATATGTCTCCCCCTTGATGCTTCTGTCGCTTTAGACATTCCAGGTGGAAGGAGGCCCTTCGACCTGCAAAGGAGCCAAAGAGCCAGCATCAGAGCAGGAAAAGAAGACCGGGGTCTGTGATGACTCCTACCCCGGGAGGGGAAAGGGGCAGTGCCAGTGGCCCGGATACACCTCCTCTTTACCCTTCATCTTTCTCTGACACATACCACGTAGCTTATGTCCCAGTCCTATCCCAGCAAGCCCAGCCCACTGTGTGGGGGTTGCTGGAGCCAGGCCACCACGACTTCTGTTACCCGAGCGCCTGATCAGTCATCTGGGGGTGCCCACTGGCTGGCCACATCTAGGAGCACGGTGTGAGGGCTCACCTAGGGAGGCAGAGCGGAGGAAGCTCCTCTTTGGAGACTGCCGGATGTCCCTCTTGTCCTCCTCTGGGGGTGTCAGTTGTCGGTTTTCATCATCCTGATAGGAGAGCCTGGAACGGAGAACTCCTGGGGCTTGTTCTGGGGGCTGAGGAGTGCACCCACAGGGACAGCCCACCCCAGAAGACAGTGTGCTTTTTTCCTCAGCAAAGGGAACCCCACTTTGTGCTTTCATGAAGGTTTGGGGAGGGGCAGCAGGGACTCGACACCCCAGGACCCTGCTCTCTGGCTTCACAGATGCTTTGGCTCCTCACACAGCCTGTGCACTCAGAGCCCAGCGTCTCTGATGAGAGGCAGTGAAGGCTCTCCTGGGTCAAAGTTGTCGAGAAAGTTGGGAAAAAATTCTAGGCCAACAAGGTTCTTTCCAGGAATGCCTGGGCTCTTCTCTTCCATGTGCTGATGCTCTTTACCATGACTAGTCCCAACTTTACTCCAATCCCCCTGACCCCTTTCTCCCTGGCCTGCCCACTCTCATCATCAAGAGCACATAGCAGTTGTCCATGTCACCATAATCACCCCATGAATGGCAGAGCTGTCACCGACCATAGGGGCATCAAGCCAATAGCTTCTAAGCCTTTCTGATGGGACTTATGTAAAAACTATATTTTACACAGTGCCAGTATGTACAGACACACCCACCTGAACTAAGCGTCACGAACCATACTCATTTCATGTGTTGCACTCTGATAGTTTCTATTCTACTTTAGTCCATTCTATTTCTTAAAAAATGTCAGTTGCAATCTACTAAGTTGATTTCACGACCCCTGGTGGGCGTAACTGTCCTTCCAAGGTTGCATTCTAACCCCTTCCTTTTCCAGATGAGGCCACACTCTTGTGACTCTGGGTACTTAGAGCAGGGGTGAGGAATGTCCGGCCCATGGGCCGCATACTCCCACAAAATCACTTGGTCTGGCCCTGCCAAGGCCTCACCAAAGAGAAGCAGTTCCAGCCATCACATTAGGGGTGAGTTAATTAAATGTTTGACCAAATATAGTAGGCTAATTTTTAAGTAATTTTATATGGTCTGTGAATGATATTATAAATATCCAAGTGGCCCTTGGCGGAAAAAAGGTTCCCTACCCCTCACTTAGAGGGTGGAGACTGTGCTGCCTGTCTGCTCCTAGCTCATGATTTCCAGCATCTGCAGATGTTCAGGAAAGCTTTTGAACCAAAACCTCTAAGCCTTTCCTCTCGTTTTCATCTTGGTAAGTCCTCCCTGTTATATTTATTCTTATCCAAATTGTACCCATTCTGGACCCAGATTCTGTTTGACCTTGTGCCTGGTGCCTGTTGTGGTCATCTTCACCTTCTCTGAATGCCTGTACCCCTGGTTGTACCACTGTGTGAGCAATTAGTTAGAAAATGTCCATGTCCTTTTCCTCTTCTGAGGTCCTCCTACCTTCCAAGCGAGTTTGCATAATCTCCTTGAGTGCCGAGGCCAGTTTATTCATGATCTAGCAGAGTGCCTGGGTGCACCAAGCACTCAGTAAGAGCGAAAGTGGACGGAAGCATATGCTTTTCCTCATATCTAGGCCATGTGGCCATGTATTAATTTGCATTCTCTATAACCTTCCTTATAAAGTGCTTTCAGGAAAGCTCCTAAAACAGTGCATCTTAAACTTTTTGAATGCAACCCACACTCATAAATACATTTTATGGGACTCAGTACACACACACATACAGACATTGGCAATTAAACAAATGTTTTACAAAATTATACTTACCTTTGTGACACTGGATATGTTATCTTATACTGTCTTATTCTATCCAAGTCTATGCTATTCTGTGCTATACTTCCTTTTAAAAGTGCTGAGCATTGCCCTAGCCAGTTTGGCTCAGTGGTTAGAGTGTCAGCCCTTGGACTGAAGGATCCTGGGTTTGATTCTGGCCAAGAGCATGTATTTCCTGTGTAGCATGCCTGAGATCCCTAGTCCGGTCAGGGCACATGTGGAAGGCAGCCAATCAATGTGTCCCTCTCACATTGATGTTTCTCTCTCTCTCCCCCCGCTTCCATTTTCTCTGTAAAGCAATGGAAAAAATATCCTCAGGTGAGGATTAAAAAAAAAAGTGCTGATCATAACTAAGTAAATGTTACAACCTTCTAATGGGTCTAAATTTGCAGTTAAACCCTTCTTAAAAAATTCCAGCACTACTAAAAATCCAACAGTGCCCTCTGCTGGCCAGCTTTATTATAAGTAGTTTCACAAACATTTGTTTAATGCTCAATATATGTATGTGTTAACTGAGTCTCACTATAAAATATATTTATTTGTTGGTTGCACGCAAAACAATGTAAGAAACAATGTTTAGAAGTTTTTTCTGAAAGCACTGTATGGTGAGGAAGGGCCATGCAACCAGGGGATTGTGTGTGTCTGTATGGGTAGGGGCTTTGCAGGTGCTCTTCTGACATATGAGCTCCTCCCCCTCCCAGATCACTCCCAGAGGAGGGACCCGGGACCTGCTTTTCACCCAGACTCTTCTACACACGCGGGCTAGCCTGGGGCAGAGGTGGCAGAGCTCACTTCTCTGTGGAGACCAGGCTGGGCTCACTGCAGTACTCTGCGTCTTCACCCATCCTCACGTCATAGGTCTCGTCCTGAGAAAACTCCTCCCGACACACCATGGCTATCTGGCTCTCCCGGGAGTGGCACCTAAAGCGTTCAAGATGGAGAAAAAAAATCAGAAACTGCTAGCCCCGCTGTGCCTCCTCCTCCTGCAATTGCCGAGGAAGCCACGGAGCCACAGAAGCATTAGGACTGGGGTTGTGATTCTGTGTGGGAGGAGGGTTAGGATCAGGGAGACCTGAGTTCCCACCCCTTCAGTTACCCTCTGGCACGCGTGACTGAGCCCGTCTCATGCCTCAGGATCCCATCAATAAAACTGGAATAACATACCCCTGCCTGACCCAGAGGCTTGTTGTAACAAAGGAGGCAACACACCAGGTGGCGCTTTGAAAGATGGGAAGGCTCAGCCTTTAGGGAAGGGTCCTAGGCTGCACTGCAGAGGGCCGGGTGGGCCAGGGAGTGGCTGTCCCTTCCCTCTACTAAAGGCAGTTGGGCCATTGGGCATTTGTTGGGCAGAGCTGAGAAGGTCCTGGTGGCACAGTTTGATATGCTTTTGAGTTTGACACTGGCTCCCTGAGTGAAGGCACAGAGAAGGCTCACGTAGAGGGTTTGTTGTTCTGAGCAGAGGGGAGTGTGCGTGTGCCCCCGCTGAGCCCATCTCTGCTGAGCTGAACCCTCCCGCATCAGGGCCTGCCTGGGGTCACGCTGCCTTCGCTCCAGGCCAGAGCCTCCTGCTCTCCTGCTCAGGTCTTCTTTAGCTCTGGTCTAAGTGTTCTCCCCGTTCCTGTCTGTGCCTAGCTTAGAACCTCCCTCCATCATTCTTCCTCTAGACCCGGACTGCTGGGGCCCACTTTATCCTCAGAGAAAATCCCAGTTCAGCCTCTCAGAACTGAGGGCTGGATCAGCGCCCCAGCTTTGACGCTGGGACCAAGAGCCATCCAGAAAGGGTGAGGGCAGTTCTCCGGGGTAGGCTCCAACAGGCGGCTGCTCACCCTACCATCTGAAGGACAGATGAGATGTCAAAGGCCCCCGATGGGGTGGGAAGAGAGGGACATGGAGGGAGCTTCGGAGAGGCACATGGGATGCACTGGACACAGAGAATGGCAGCAAGCAAGCAGCACCACTTCTTGGGGGGCACTGTGTGCAAGGCGTGCTGGCCTGTCCCCAACAAAAGCAAGGCCAGTGCTGGAGCCACCACACTTAGCCTTGAGCTGTGACACGAAGGTGCAAGGTCCCAGAGCTGGAATTTTGGTTAAGTTGTCTCTCTTCACAATTGGAAGCTTACTGCCCTGAGTGTTGTTTTTACCAACTGTGGCGGGAAGGGGGAGCCGACATTTAGAGAGCACTTACTATGTGCTAAGCGCCTTGCATGGCTCTTGTTTCATTAATAGATGTATCCGTGGGAGAGGAAGAAATCCCCTGATGTCTTTCCCAACCTCCTCTCTAAAATGATTTTACCTTCCTTTACTTAATACAGAACAAAGTTTAATATGAAAATTCACTTTGAAGGAGGTGATAGTTTATACCGAGACGCTAATGATGAACACAGCAAGCCTTCCTTAAAAAGAAGTTTGATAAGGGGAGCAGGGAGAAAATGGTACTAACTGAGCCCCTGAAGGATAAGAAGGGGAGGAGGGTTGCAGAAAAGGGAGGGGCCGCCAAGACAGGCATGGGTCAGCCACCTGAATGCTGACCTTCTCCTGTGCAAAACAGCCTTTCTGATCAGCACACAAAATCCAGTGCTGAGCACACTGCCCTGCACATAGAAGGCATTGCTTTAATTGGGCAGGACTCACCCAACACTGCTTGTGGGTGGTTGTGCCAGCTAATCTTAGGCAGTAAGGTAGGCAGATGGCCAATCTGACTGCCTGTCATCAGATACTGTTAAGTGGCCAGGCAGTGTGGATGTGAAAGTGGCCATGCTGGGTCCTTGAATGAAAGCAGCTCAGGACACATGTCCATGGATTTAGAAAGACACTGGAACTTCTCAATAATTTTCTGAGCTCGAGGGCAGAAAAGGACACTGGCCCAAGAACCTAGCATGCCGGGGACCTGCAGTCCTCCTCTGGAAGAGCAGCTCAGCTAAGGGTGAAACGGCAAGATGCAGAGGTGTGTCCTCTCCCACCTCCCTGGGGAGCCCAGAGCTGCGGATATCAACAGCAGGCCCTCCAGGCCCAGGCCCCGCTTCCCGAGGCCCAGAGCATGGCAGTGGGCAGTGGGCTCTGTCTTCCCAGCGCATGGTAGGTAGCAATGTGTCCCGGAGCACCAGGGAACAGAGCGCAGGGAGAAAGGAGCCAGGTAGGACGAGGGAGGTGCAGTCAAGACGACCAGAAAGGATCCTGCGCTGGGCAGAATGAGCAAGTGCTACAGCAAAGGGCCTCCTGCCACCAAAATGCCCCTCCCTGGAGGGTGAGAAGGGTATAAAGAGGAGGCGGTATCTTCATTCCCCTCCCAACTGGGCCAAAGGCTGGGTTTGGAGAGACACTTGGGAAAGACCAGGGGAACAGTGTCTGTTGTGTAGCCAGGATGCAAACATCATGGGGGTCAGGGGCCAGGGCTCTCTGCACAGTTAGGATGAGAGAGCAGAGCAGGCCCTGTCCAGAGGTCTGCCCCTCAGGACACTTGCTGGCCAGTGGGGCCACGGCTTCCCCTGAGCATGGCTCCAAGGGCAGGACTTGGGAGGCAGCATTCACCTGGCTCTCTCCCCGGGTCAGGGGNGCCACATGTAACCAAGGGCAGGACTTGGGAGGCAGCATTCACCTGGCTCTCTCCCCGGGTCAGGGGCAGCACCGGCCAACCCAGCTTGAGGGTTGAGTGGGAGACCTGGGGGCCAAATTCTCCTCTCTGACCCCCTCTGAGCCAGAGTGTGTGAGGCCCCTGAGCATGGGCCCTGGGTGCCCCACCCTCCTGCTTACCTCTTGGANCAGGGGCAGCACCGGTCAACCCAGCTTGAGGGTTGAGTGGGAGACCTGGGGGCCAAATTCTCCTCTCTGACCCCCTCTGAGCCAGAGTGTGTGAGGCCCCTGAGCATGGGCCCTGGGTGCCCCACCCTCCTGCTTACCTCTTGGAGCTGAGCTTCCACGAAGCCTCCTGCACCCGGATGGCAGGAGACAAGGGGGGCCCGTGGCCCTCCACAGCACTGACGGTGCTGGGGTAGCCGGTGGGGCGGGGAAAGCGGCCCAGGGCAGTGTTGTTGGCATTGTTGATGTTGGCGTTGGAGCCAGTGGATGAGTAGCTGCTGGGGGTGAAGGTGGAGTCCACCAATTTCTCGTGGGACGGAGACTCGGTGTCGCCTGGGCTGTTAGTGGCCTTGTTGATGTGCAGTGGGCGCTGGGTGGTGAAGGTCTGGGGGAAGGCGCTCCGGCTGTCGCTTTGGTAGTAGCTGACATGGTTGCCGAACAGGCCACCGGCCCTCTGTAGGCAAGACGGGAGGGGTGGGTGGAGGAGAATGCCCCCTCGGCAGCCTCTCCCTCTTGGCCACGGCACGGAAAGCTGTCTGCGCTACAGAGAGCACAGCCACGCTGGGCAGCACGTGGCCTGGCAGCTTGAGTGCCAAGGACTCAGACAGTCCCCTCCGAAAGGGCTGGGGGAACGGTGAGGGACAGGGCATCCTGTGAGAACCAGTCAGGCAGGGAAGCTGCTCCCCAGAAGTTGCCAATGAGCCTTGGGAAAACTGGGATTGAGTCTCAAGGACGAGTCTAGGGTGGCAAGCCTAACCTCAGCCAGCCTCTCTGCTCGGAGGCACTGCGAGGCCTGAGGCGTGGGGAAAGGGACCAGGTGACTCCAACGAGATTTAAAAAAATGGGACTCCAACTGGCCTGCTGGGCTAGAAACTGTGTTAGTCAAAAGGTTTTGAAAATAAAGATGATAAATTTACTACCTCAATTATATTATGGCCTCCTTTCCCCTAGGAGGGTCTTAGTGATTTCAGGCCTGGAACCTGAGTTTATTCCCAACATCCTTTCCTTGTCCTGGGCAAGTGGGCAAGTAGCTATCTGCAAGGCTGGTCTGTGGGGTTGGGGTGGGGTCTTGTTAACTGGCTGCTGTGTCCCTGAGGCCATTCGGTCATGAACATTTCACAGAGAAGAGAATGAGAACGTGATGCCAGGACAGCCACAGGCAGAGTGGGTTCCTTTCAGCTCCCTGTGTTTCTACAGCCTGGAACCAGGGCCTGGGGCCGGGAGGGACAGCTGTGAGCCGGTCCTGGCATAGTTATGGCTGGTAGCTTCTCCCTCGCTACAGGAAAACTGTTAGCTAAATACCTTCGGGAACAGGCAGGTACCACAAATGAGTGGAGAGCTGGACGTAAGAGTCCAAGCGTTCCGGTCGTGTTCAGTTTTCACTATTAAAACTGGTGGTCATGCTCCGTATCCAGGAAAGGAGGGGGAGGCTGGGGGGGACCTTGTGACCTGGAGAACACATGTCCTATCTAGGAGGTCATCTGCCACTGGGTCCCAGCCTCTGCTGCCATGCGGGGCACAGCCTAACGTTGTCAGATCTGATGTTTTCAAGAGAAGCCAGAAGTCTAGGTTTTTATTTGAATGTGCCAGATTTTCAAATGTTGGCAAACGAAATAGGCCTGCAGATCAGGCGTGGCCCAAGGGCCACCACTTTGTAGCTTCTAATGTAAGTTTTTCCTTGGAAACATTCCCCTTAGGAAAATGGCTCCTTCTTCCTACAAAAGTAGGGAGTGTCCTCTGAGCTGCCGTGTCCTGGGAGCCCTGGCTTGAGGTGGGAAAGGTAGAGGGATAGGGAATAGCTGGTGGGAAGAGCCTGGAACTTGCCATGGAACTCGGGCCTTTCTCCCTGGTTTACTGGCAGAGCACCAGCCCACCCTCTTGCTTCAGACCAAACTTGATTAAGGTGAAGAGGGCTACTGTGGCATCACCTACCCTGAAGATGTCATCTTCAGAGGCAGCAGACACAGCCTCCTTCATGGCTTTGTCCAGCTCCTCCTCAGCTGTCAGATCTCCGGAGATGGCCCGTCGGATCTCAGGCCCGATGTCGTGCAGCGTGCGCAAGCCAGCCTGGAACCCAGGGGACCTGTGAGCCCCGGCGCTCCTCCACCCAGCTGCCCACCCGCCGCGCCGCCACCAGGCAGCAGCCTCCCGAAGGGCCATCGGTGTGTGCTAGCCAGGGGCTGTGCTTCGGGGCCTCTCTGCCTGCCCCGAGGGGAAGAACCCGCTCTCCTACCCGGGAAAGATGAGGCATGGTAGGAGGGGCTGTCAGGGAACTTCAGCCACTCGGCCGAGCTCCAGGGAGCACAGGGCGCTGTGGAGCAGGCGGGACTATAGAGGGCCGTGTGTGGAAAGATCGCAGGAGGGAAAGGAACATGTCCCCCTTCACACATCTACCTTCTAAAGGGACCTGGCCTCCAGCCCACTGGTGAGAGACTTGGACCCTGGCCAGAGGTCAGAAGGTGACCAGGCCTTTCTTTGGGTGTGGCCCCCTCGCCCCTCACCTGCAGGGACAAGGCGTTCCTCTGGGAGGGCTTGCCCACGAGGCCCTGCTCCTTGCGCTTCTTGAATTTCCGGAAGTACTCTTGGATCAGGAAAGTAGCATAAAACTTGCCAACTGTGACCTCATCATCTGAGACAGTCAAAGAGAGAACAGGGAATTGGAGGGAAACAAGGGGAATTTAGTTGGGCTTTATTAATTTTTTTTCCAGCATCCATACTTTAAAAAATTTTTTAATTTATTTTTTTGAAAAGACAGAACATTCACATGGTTCAAAAAAACAAAAACATTTAAGTTATACAGTGAAAAGTCTCCCACTGCTTCCAACTGCCAAATTACCACCCCCTATTGATAATCTTTTCTATTAGTTTCTTGAATATTTTTGCAGAAATTCTTTATGCAAATGCTTTCTGTAAACAAGCAAGTATATTCTTATCCATCCCCCCACCTTTTAAAAGAAAAAGTAGCCTATTGTCAAAATTATTTCCCACCTTGCTTTTTTTTACTTAATGGACATTGCTAACAAATTCTTATTTGATTCCAAAGCTTCAGATGCCCATCATAAATCAGCCGGTCCCTCTAAGTACAAACATAGTTCTGCTTAAAGCTCAGGAGGAGGGGCTGGTGGAAGGAGCACCTTCTTCCTAAGTTTGGGTTTTCTCACATGTGACTTGGGTGGGTCCCTTGTCTTGGGAATGAGCCATGTGATGGAGAAGCCAGTAAGTCTCCAGTGGGAATATTTCATGACCTACAAAGAGCCCCTTTGCTCCGCCTCCTAGTTCTCTGTGAAGGACAGGGCAATGGGCCTGACAGACAGCGGGGAGGGTCAGATCTAGGGGCTTGTGGTGGTTCTCCTGCTTCTGTCTCCGAAGAAGAGCCAAAGCCACAGCAATGATGGCCTTCCCCCTAGCAAGGGCCTCATTGCCATGTGGGAGGAAAGGCCCCTGAGCCCCCTGACCAGGGTAGTCAGGGAGGGATTCCTGCAGGGCAAAGAGTTCGGCCTTCTGGGGTCCCTCAGACCTGGATTTGAATCTTGAATCTGCTAGGTACTCACCGTGTAGCCTTGGGCCAGCTACTTAGTTTCTAAGAACTTTGATTCTTTGAGCAAACTTCACAGATAATGTTAAAAGGAGCAAATAAAGTAATGTATGTAAACCGTGAGGTGCTGCTTGTCTGTCTCTGTGACTCCACTTAGTCCCAGTCTTGCCTTCTCACTGGGAAGTGGTTCTCAGCAGGGCTGGCGCCACCATTTAGAAAGTGTTTGGGAATGTGTGGGACTTTTGTAGTTGTCACAGTGATTTGGGGGTGCTGCGGGTACTAAGTGGTTCTAGATGTGTCCCTTAAAGCACAGGTGCGTTTTGCACAATAACAGCTTCGCACTCTGCACGTCTTTCAAATGTTATGCTAGGACGTCCATGTGGGGAGCAACCTGCTTATAATGATCTGAGCTAAGAACCTAACTCCATTTACATATGAATACAAAACATTTTTTACATAGTTTTAATATATTCAGAATTTTCCAGGAATATAACTGCTGTGTAAGTTGATAGGAGACTTTCTTTTGTTTCAACTTGACCAACAGGGGCTCACATTTTGTAAAGTTGCATCCCCACTGGCAGCACTCCTTGTGGCAGCTGTGTCACCACAGTCTCTGATCCCCCTGCCTCAGTCAGCATGTATGTATGTATGTGTGTATATATGTGTGTGTAACTTATTTAAATATACTTAATTAGCCTCACTTCAAAATGACAAATACAAATTGCTGACAGTGTTTAATAGTCTTATGTCCTTCACGCACACGTATCATCATATGTGGATTCAGGCAAGCATTTTTTCAGTCATTATAACCTAGTTGTGCCTGAGCATTTATATATTGAAAAACATTTGAATTTATTCCATTTATATTAGAGGTAAAGAGTAATATTAATATTCTGGAAATTGCATGTGTGGGAAGGTTACATCACCCACGACTTTCATGCAGGACAGCAGCGGGGCACATACACTACTTGTCATAACAGGCTGTGGGCGCACAGGCCGGGCAACACTGCCCTGGGCGGACACAAAGAGTGGCCTCCAGGAGGGGATCTCAGGGCTCCATTGTTACTAGACCCTCAGCCCAGTGGTTTATGGGGAAACCTACACCTTGCAGTTTCCTTGAAGTTCTGCCAAACCTTTAAGCACTGAGGGGCCTTGGCGACTTCACCTGAGAAGTGCAGGGTAGGACTTGATTTCCAACCCAAAAGCCTGTATCCGAGTCTGTGAAGGACATGGCACCCTCATACCTTCTAACTGGGAGGACCTTTCAGCCCACAGGCAGGGTCTGGGGAGAGTGGCCCTCCTGCAAGCCTAGCAACTCAAGATCCAGACGAGTGGAGAGTGTGCAGAGACCGGGGACCACTCACCACCCGCGGGGGGCACCACTTGGTCCAGCAGCTTCATGCTGGTCCGCTTCCAGATCTTCTTGATTATGGCCCGGAGCTCCTCATTGGCTTGTTCCAGGTTCCCTGAGGCAGGGGGACAGATACAAGGCTGAACCGATCACCCGCCCTTCGAGGCCCCCATGGGGTGTGCCCTCTGCATCAAGCGCCCCATAAATAGTCCTGATCCATTGTTTCACTTGTTCTCCCCTGTTCTGTGCCCTGTCCAGTGCCATCCCTTCTCTGCCTGCTGCTCACCCCACACACTGCTTTTCCCTGTGGGCGGCACTCAGAGCTGACAGGACTGCTGGTGCTGGACAGAGCTCAACAGTTATCCGCCAGGAGGGCACAAGGGGCTCCCCATGGATGGCATTTCTCATGGGCCCTGGGGTTGCCAGGGAAACATGGATGACTGGAAGGAAGAGCAGTCTTCCCCAGTGGCAAAGCCCTTTGATGAGTCTCCTGTCAGGAGGAGGTGGCACAACCTCAGTGTGGAAACAGAAATCGAAAGATGTTGGGTCCTCTGGGTCTACTTTCTCCCTAGTGAAACAGGCTAATTAGGTGCCTACCCCATGCAGCCTCTGGGATACTGGCCTTACTGACCTATAAAGGGAAAGCTGAAGACAGGATGTGGTAGGCAGGATCTAAGATGCCCCCAACCTATCTCCCACCACCACTGATATATACACATGCCACACATTCATTGCCTGGGACTGTGAATAGATGGATTTTACCCTGTGATTATATTATATTATATGGCACACAGGACTTTAAGATGGGGAGATTATCTAGGTGAACCTGACCTAATTACTCAAGCTCTTTAAAAGTAGAGAGCTCTCAGGTACAATCTTCCAGTTATAAAATAAGTCAGTCCTGTGAATATAATGCACAGCTTGGTGACTATAGTTAACAATACTGTATTACATATTTGAAAGTTGCTAAGATTGTAGATCTTAAGAGTTATCATCACAAGCCCTGGCAGGGTGGCTCGGTTGGTTGGAGCATTCCATTCCCACTCAGGCCACATACGTAGGCTGTGGGTTCAGCCCTGGGTCAGGGCACGTACAGGAGGCAGCTGATTGATGTTTCCCTCTCTCTCTCTCTCTCTTTCTCTCTCTCTCCTCCCCCCCTTCCTCCTTCCCTTCCTCTCTAAGATCAATAAACCAATTCTCAGGTGAGGATTAGAAAAAAGTTTTATCATCACAAGAAAAAGCATTATAACTATATATGGTGACAGATGTTAACTGGACTTATTGTGATGATTATTTTACAACATATACAAATATCAAATCACTATGTTGTACACCTGAAACTAATATAATGTTATGTGTCGGTTGTACCTCAATAAAAAACAAAACAAACAAGAAAGTAATGTGTGAAGGAGGTGAAAGGTGGAAATAGAGCCTTTTCTCCAGTTGGGAGCAGGAGAGAGAGATGGTGGCTTGGGCCTGGAAGAAAGCACGCTGTGCTGTGAACTGAACTGAGACAGGAGCCTCTGGGGGCTGATGGTTCCAGTAGAGAGCCAGCCTTATGACTGCACGAAATGAATCCTGCCAACAACCTGAATGAGCTGGAAGTGGATTCTTCCCCTGAGCCTCCAGGACAGAACACATCCTGACCAATATCCTGATTTTGGCCTTGTAAGGACCTGAGCACAGGAATCAGCTGCTCCATGGCTCCACTCCTGACCTACAAAACTGGGAGCTAATAACTGGGTGTTGTTTCAAGCCAAGAAATTTGTGGTAACTGGTCATGCAGCAATAGGAAACCAAAACAGGTAGGCCTCAAAGACACAGCGGGTTCCGCTTCAGACCGCTGCAATAAAGAGAATATCACTATTAAGCCTGTCACACAATTTTTTTAGTTTCCCAGTGCATATAAACATTATGTTTACACTATACTGTAGTCTATTAACATGCTTACACTATACAGTTTCTATTATTTTCTGGAAGGCTTTAACTGAGAGAAGGCACCTCTCTGGGTTATTCACTGAACTGAATTCCCATGTATCATTTACAAATGAAGAAACTTAAGTAGAGAGAGAATAAATGACTTATCACATGTTATCAGAGTCAGGTCTCCCATCTCTCTGCCCAGCGTTCCTTCTATTGCACTAAAGGACACTGTGACTGGCAGCCTGAGACTCTCAAGCCGAAGCATTAGGGAAAGAAGACACACTGCTTGTCTCATCTGTGCTTTCTCTGATCTCTATACAAGAGGGTTTCAAGCTTCACTTCCTGTGTGATTCATAATGCGGCTGGTTGAAAGTACAGATCCCCGAGCCCTGCTCTGAGACTCAGATTTGGAGATTTGGCCACATACTTGGGACTCAGTATTTTTTTTTAATATGATTTTTTAAAATTGATTTTAAAGAGAGAGGAAGGGAGAGGGACACACAGAAGAAACATCAATGAGAGATCAACATTGATCGGCTGCGTCCTGCATGCCCCCTACTGTGGATGGAGCCCACAACCTGGGCATGTGCCCTGACCGGGAATCGAACCTACGACCCCTTGGTGCCCAGGAGGACACTCAACTGAGTCACACTGGCCAGGGAGGGACTCAGTATTTTAAACAAACTCCAATAGTTTCTGAGGCAGTCATCTTTTCACCACACTCTGTGAAACACTATAGAATAGGCTAGAAGCTCTTGGAGAGCAAGTGAAGCTTCTTAGGTGCATTTCATGTAGCCTTTCCGCAAAGTGGCTCAGAAATACTTATCAATTACACCGATAGCCGATTATTGTAGCCAAAGTGGCTGTAGCCCACAGGGTGCCTTTGTGCAAACTAGAAGGTTTCCCTCTAGGTGGACATGGGCCAAAGGGAGCATGGCCCGCCTAGTAGAGCATAGGTGAGATCTTAACCCCTACCTGTCGGCTGGCTGAGCCCTTGTGCCATTGTAGGTGATGACTTCGACCATAGTCACCATTTGCTGCCATGACCCTTTCCCCACACAGCTCTTTTATTTTTTTTATGTATTGATTTTAGAGAGAGAGGAAAGGAGAGAGAGAGATTTGTTGTTTCACTTATTCATGCATTCATTGGTTGATTCTTGCATGTGCCCTGATCAGGGATCGAACCAGAAACCTTTGAGTATCAAGGACAATGCTCTAACTGACTGAGCTACCCTTCCAGGGCCCACACAGGTCTTTTTAATTTAAAAGGAGTATTGCACATTTGAGGGTCCCACGTGCTGCCAATAAAATTTAATTCAAGTGGGGCTTGGTCTTGCTTCAGGTAACACTCATCTTTTCTGCTTTTTGAACTATACCCTATGACTTCAAGATGGAAGGTTAGTGTTCCAAATAAATAAGCTAGAGGCAAGGAGGCCATTCAAGAAGCAAAGAAAACATGACTAGGCCTCTTTCACACCCCCGAGGTGAAGGTTATTGCTGAGCCACACTCCGTACAGGACGGGAAGGTCCTGGGACTCCGCAGGCTGCCGACTTCCTCTCTGGTTAGTGTGCTAGGTCTTCTGAGTGGCTCCTCTAGTGCCCTGTGGGCAATTCTTACCTTCCGTTTTGATCCTCAGGGCTGTCCGGACCAGGGCAAATAGGGTGGCATTGAACATGACCGTCCCATCACTGTTCAGAGGCATGTTCATGGAGACCAGACGCTGGAGGGGAAAGGGAGGCAAAGCTGGTGATTATAGCAAACGGTTCTCAAAGGACCTACAGAACCACCAGGGCAGGAGAATGCTGGCAGGGAGCCTCTAAACTTGTGTGCGTGCGTCTGGAGTGGGTGGGGGTGTAGAAACATGAGTCACTGAAATGTATTCGAAACCTGTTGTGGGGAGAATCCTGGCTCTGCCACAAGTACTCTCATCCCTCTGCACAGAGTGAGGGAGGAAGGGAATTTGTCCCTGTTAGACCCTTGCTTCCAACCCCTTCCCCCGCTCAAATGTTGCTCATGCACATGGGTGTGCTCTCTCCTGGCAACAACGAACAGCTGTGCGCAGGCATTTGCTGGGATCCCACCTGCCAGCCCGCATTCATCTAACGCCCTGATAACAGAGATAATAATAGGAGATGCTTGTAGGAGCTGCAGTGTGTCCTTTCTTCTGTGTATTGAAAAAATTGATCTGTACATCAAGCCCTATCAGAAGCTTGCTGACACTGGAGAGGGTTGGGTTGCCCTCTCCCCTCCTCTCCCACCCCCGGACGTGGCTGCCATTGTGCTGTGCTCCCGTGTGGGGCCTCAGCATATGCCAGGGTCCCTGTGAAAAAGAGACCATGAAACTCATTCTGGCACCTGCTCTCAGGATGTGGTCAAGGATATTATTTGTTACATCACATGGTGTCCTCCTGTTACTTGTAGCGCCAACAAGGGTTATAATTGGTCTGAGTGACTCTTGATTCTAATGGACAGTGAATTTTATAGTGGTCCCTGGGAAGCAAAAACCTCAATCTGCAGCCTGTCCAGGCCATCTGGAGGCCCCGACGGACACACTGCAGCCTCATGTGGGCCACACGCATCCCTGCTCTTGTTTTCCACTCTGCTCTACCTTACATTAAACTTGTGCTCTTTTTTCCTCTTATTTTCTTCACCCTTGGAAATCTTCTAAAATCCTTTTTTTTTTTTTTGGAATGAAGTGGAGGTGCAAGTGAGGAAAAACTGAGTAAAACACAGCACAAGTAGAAGGTTCTATATTCCTTCAATTCTCTATTTTCCATGAGTGGATTATCCACAGAGCTGAGATTCGCTATTTGTGCTTCTTCCTCTGTGCAGCTCTCTTAAGTCACTTCCCCCAACCCCTTTTCAACTTGTTACTTTTCCAACATGGAATAGAGAAGGGTGATAATAAGAATTAAAGAAAGAGAGGAGAGAATGGAAACGAGACTCTTCAGCAAGTACTGGGCTCCGTGGTTGGGAATACAGGGAGGCAAAAAGGGGCACACAACTTAAGGGGGCTCACTCTCAGGGTCATGCAAGGGCTACGTGGGCAAGAGTTGGGTCTACCAGAACCTAGGATGTCTGTCTTAAACATCACAGACTCATTTAGAAATCTGATGAACATGATGGATTCTCTCCCTGGTTCAATTTGTGAGTGTTTCATATGTAATTTCTTGGATCCCTGAATCTGATGCATTGACTCGCTAATGGCCCTGTGACCCCAAGAAAGCACCCTAATCCACCTGTCCTAGAAGGGAAGTCTTCCAGGTTGCCTGATGGGGCAGCAAAGCCTGCTCTGAACAAGGTTCTTTACTCAGGACCGGACACACGGCTCCCTGGGGCATGAGGCATTCACTTCGCTTTTCCTTTATAGAGTCTGAGAACTTATTGCTGGAAGTAACCTTCAAATATGACCAGGGTCAGGCTCATTTCTTTGGCACATAAAATACTGCCTTCACTCCCTTGAAAAAGTTGGCCTGACCAAGGTTACAAGACAAACAGGCATCTTGCCTCCCATATTTCTCTTTCTCCCACGAACCCAGTTTGTCTCTTACTTTGCAAGCCACACGGTGAGGGCACAGCTTCCCAAAACCCAGTGGGGGCTGAATCCGCCGGAGCAGGGTCACCACATCCAGGTGTTTGATGCGACCCCTAGAAGAGGAAGGAGAGGAGGGAAAGGTCAATCAGGGGCCGTGGTGTGCGCCAGCAGGCCAGGACTCATGTACCTGAGAGGTGGGGGCCCACCTACAGGAGGAAGTCTCCATAGCTGGAGCCCTATTGGTCAAACTCAGTGCAGAGTTGCAGAATGGCATGGTAAAACTCCAAAATTGATAAATACATATTGAGATTTTAATGAGCCATTTTCCAGTAGTATATGTTCAAAATGGATGGGTTTTAGTAGTGCAATGAAATTCTCAGCATGTATTTGATGGTCAACCAACCACCTGACCAAACGGTATTCATTGAGTGTCAACCAAACGTGACTGATTGACCAGGATACCCTTGGACCTGAGGCAGGAAAGGAGTTGAGATGTACCTGACCCTAAGCATCCTAACTTGACTACCTACCAGTTATTCCTAACACTAGGACCTTCTATCTTTCCATTCAACTGAAAATCATAGATATGTTCATGACTTAACCAAAGGTGCCTGGCTTCCTATTGCTGGCCCTTACCCTTGACCCTGGGGTCTGGTGCAATTCAGTGTTTCCAGTGGATCCACCCCATGCTAACCCATCTTGACCCTCTTCTATAGGTTGTGAAATCTCTCTCAGCTTTGGGAATCAGAATTTCCTTCTGGGAACTTACTTGGCTTCAGGGTCATACTCTGCCCAGATTCTTTTAAATTCGTCCAGATGGTGGGGACCAAGGATTGACCAGTCCCTTGTCAGGTAGTCAAAGTTGTCCATGATGACAGCTACAAAGAGGTTGATGATCTGCAGAAAACAGGGAGTATGATGAGTCACCTAAGAGGACCTTCCTACACACCTGCTGCTTGAATCCACTGTGCCAGTGGTGCCATGCATGGTGGAAGCAGACATTTCTAAAGACCAGCCATATGTCACCATTTACCACACCAGCCCCTGGGACTTGGGCCTCTTGGATATGAACATAACACAGCTCCCCTAAGAGTTGTGTGGGCTGAACCCACGTGTGGGCTGGATGGCTTTCCTCACACCAGGCTGCTGGGTAGGGCCGCTAAGGACAGAGGACAACTTTATCCACCACGTTCCCTCATTCCCCATTGAAGTGCCAAAAAAGTCTAAGTTGCCTCTAGGCCTCCACAGATGACAACTCTGTCCTCTGGGACAATGCTACCATGACAAGAGCCAAGATGGACAAGGGAGACGCTGGTTGAGGTGACTCCGGCTCAGGCTGTCTGTCCTGTCTCACTGTGGTTGGACATTCCTACTAACTCAGTCTTTCCAAGCCAGCTCGTCTGCTGGGCCACCCTCACCAGGAGCTGCAGAGAGGGCAGGCTCGGGCGGCCCTGACCTGCGTGCTCATTCCCTGTGGCCGTTCAGTCCCACCTCGGCTTACCAGGAAGGCACAGAGCATGTAGAAGCTGATGAAGTAGAAGACGGCGAAGCTGCTGCCACAGGGCGTCTCCCCTTCCGTGCTGTTGTGGGGCTCAGACTCCGGGGCGCACTTCTTCCCTGGCATGCAGGCCAGCATGATGTCCTGCCACGCCTCCCCAGTGGCACACCTGGGGCCGAGAGGCGAGAGGGCCCAACACCCATGGATCCAAGCCCCATCGCTGGCTCCTTCTCTGCCCCTTGCCTCTGCCTCCCTCTCCACAGGGAACTGCTAAATTGAATTTGGTGCTGATCATTCCCCGAATGCTCTGATATGTTCACTAAATATGAAAATATATAGCACTGTTTCGAATGTTTTAAAACTTTATATAAATGATAACAGCTGTACCTTTTCTGCAAACTCACTGCATTTGCAATCCATGCTCAGTTTTTGAGATTTAGCTGTTTAGATGTGTCTTAGCTCTAGTTCACTCATCTGCATCGTGGTGCAGGAGTATACCTTATGAATATACCGCCTAAAAAACCCAGCCTCCTGCTAAGATTTTTCTTTTTTATTTGTTTTTTTTTGGTTTGTTTTTTTTGCTGATACAGATAACACTGCAGTGAACACACAGGCCCATGTCCAGGATGCCTGCTCAGCAGTGGGACTGCCAGCTGACAGGCGTGTGCTGGTCTTCCCTAGGCATTGCCTGCTCACTTTATCCAGGTGTCTGTCCAGTTTGTACTCCCGTCAGCAGTGAAGAAGAAATGCCGGTGCTCTACGGACCTGTCAGCTCGCACTTTCCAGCCTAACTGAGGAGCAACCGGCAAATGCAACTGTCAGATATTTTAAGTGTGCATCACGCTGATTTGACACACGATACACTGTGAAAGGATTCCTCCGCCCAGTTAATTAACACCTCCATCGCCTCACATATTTATCTAGTTTGTGTGTGTGAGAACATCCAGGTTTTACTCTCTCAGCAAATTTCAATTACACGATACAGTGTTATCACTACAGTCACCACGTTACGCATCAGATCCTCAGACCTTGCCCACCTTATGGCTGAAAGTCTGCACCCTTTCGCCAGCCTCTCCCTAATTCCTTTGCCCCAGACCCCTGGCAACCACTGTCATACACCTTGTTTCTATGAGTTTAGATTTGTCAATTCTGAATATTAGTGAATTTACAAAAACGTTTCACATGTGATGGGTATAAAATATTTCACTGCTGTTTTAATTTGGTTTTAAAATGATTAATGGGCTGAAATTTGTATTTCATCTTCTGTTGACTTGCATGTTCAGATTCTTGCCTGTTTGTCTCATGGGTTATTTGTCTTGTCTGTTTGTAGGGTTATTTCTATATTTTTTCATATTAATCCTTTTCAGTCATATGTATCATGATACCTTCTTCCAGTCTGTAGCTCATCTTTAGCTTTATTTATGCTATGTTTTGATGAATCTAAGTTTTAAATTTCAAAGTGGTTAAATTTATAATTTTCCCCTTTCTGTTCTTTTATTTTTAACTTATAATAACTGTATAACTTCATAAGGCTTTCCTTTTTTTTTTTTTGCATCTTGCTAAAAAGATTCTTCTCTATTCAGGGTCATAAAAATATTCTCCTGTATGTTCTAAAATTTTGTTTTTCATAATAACCCTTTAACCTGGAATATATTTTTGTGCTCCATATGAGGTGGACATACGCTTTCTCTTTTTCTTTATAGACAACCAATTCTCTTAATACAAATTATTGAATAGTCTATCTTTATCTATTGATTTGAAATATTTCTTCTGACATAAATTATATTTCCACACATGTGTGGGCCTCACACTAGCCGTTTCATTCTATTCCATAGGCTTATCTGTCTATGCTAGTACACCACCTGGTTGTAATCACCACAACTTTGGAGTTAAGTCTTGCTCCCTCATAGAGAGTGACTCCTCCCAGCTTGTTGTTCTTAAAACCGTCTTGGCTATTCATTTCCCTTTTCCATCCCACCGACACGGTAGAATCAGCTTGTCAAGTTCCATGAATAATCCTGTTGAGTATTTTACTAAAATTGCATTAAAATATAGGTTAACTTGGGGAATTTGACATCTTTGTGATATGAAGCCTCCTAGCCATGAACATGATACATCTCTCCATTACTTAGGTCCTATTTCATGTCTTTTAATAAAATTTTATAATTTTCCCATATACATCTTTTGTTAGGCTAGTGCTAGGTATGTTATTTAAAATAAACAAAGTATTCTATTGTAAATGGAACATGTAAAACATTATATTTTTTGTTTGCAGCTAATGTAGAGGAAGTACAATTGAATTTACATACAGAAGATTTGCTGAACTCTCTTATTAGTTCTGTAGTTTCTCTTGTATAGTCTCCATAGGCAATCAGTTTTTTAAAGATATTTTATTTGTTTATTTTCTTCTTTTATTATGGTAACATACACATACAAAATTTACCATCTTAGCCATTTTTTAATGTAGAGGTTAGAGGTATTAAATATATTGACATTGCTGTGTAGCCATCACCACCTCCCATCCTCATAACTTTCATCTTGTAAAACTGAAACTTTATGCCTATTAAACAATAACTCCCCCAGACCCTGACAACCACCACTATACTTTCTGTCTTTATGATTTTGACTAAGTACTTCATTTAAGTGGAATCATACAGTACCTGTCTTTTTGTGACTTATTTCACATAGCATAATAACCTCAAGATTCACCCATGCTGTGCAATATGTGTCAGAATTTCCTTTTTTTAAAAGGCTGAATAATATTCCATTGTATATATGCCACATTTTGTTTACCCATTCATTTGTCGATGGACACTTGGGTTGCTTCCACATTTTAGCTATTGTGAATAATGCTGCTATGAACATGGACGTACCCATATCTTTTTGAGACCCTGCTTTCGGTTTTTGGGGGTATATCCCCAGAAGTGGAATTGCTGGATATTATGGTCATTCTATTTTTAATTTTTTGAGGAACCATCATACTGTGCTCCATAGTGGCTGTACTGTTTTATATTCCCATCAACAGTGCACATGGGTTCCAATTTTTCCACATCTTCACCAACACTTGTCTTCTGTGTTTTTGATCGCAGCTATCCTAGTGAGTGTGAGGGAATAGCTCTTTGTAGTTTTGATTTGCATTTCCATTGTGATTAGTGATATTGAGCGTCTTTTAATGTGCTCATTGGTCATTCATATATCTTCTTTGGAGAAATGTCTATTCAAGTTCATTTTTAAATTGAGTTGTTTTGTTGTTGAGTTTGGCAATCAATATTTTTGGCTTTTACTTTTGTTTCTTCTCCTCCGGTTCTTACTCTTTGATTTATTTTTCTTATTTTATTGCACTGGTTAAAACTTGCATTATAATGTTGATGGAAAAAGTGATAGCATATGATCTTGTCTGTTATATTTACTAATTAGTTATAAGCTATTATGGACTAAATGCTTGTGTCTCCCTAGAATTCATACGTCAGAGGGAGCCCTAACCCTCAATGTGATAGTATATGCAGGGGGGCGCTTAGGAGGTAATTAGGTTTAGGTCAGGTCATAAGCTGAGATCAGTGAGTTTACAAGAAGAGTAGAAGAGACCAGGTTCCTCTCTCTCCCTCTCCCCATCTCCCCTCTCCCCGCCCCCCCATGTGAGGTCACAGTGATAAGATGGCTGTCTGCAGGTCAGGAAAAGGGCTCTAATCAGGAACTGAATGTGCCAGGATCTTGATCTTGAACTTCCAGCATCCAGAAGTGTAATAAAGAAATGTCAATTGCTTAAGGCACCCAATCTATGGTATTTTATCACAACAGGCTAACCAGCCTACATTATCAGTGTAGGAAAGTGATTGTGTTCTTCTATTAACCTTCCACCTTACTGATCCTATTAATTGTTATAAAGACTTTTGGTTGATTTGCTTGAATTTTCTACTTGGATTAGCCCATTGTTTGCAAACAATGACAATTACGTCTACACATTTTTATATTTTACTTCTTGCCCTTTTTCTTTTCTCTCTTTTTTAAAAAAATATATTTGTATTTATTTCAGAGAGAGGAAAGGAGAGAGAGAGAGAGAGAGAGGTAGAAACATCAATGATGAGAAAGCCATTGATCGGCTGCCTCCTGCACGCCCCTGACTGGGGTCGAGCCTGCAACCGGGGCATGTGCCCTGACCGGGAATCGAACCGGAATCTCCTGGATCCTAGGTCGACGCTCAACCACTGAGCTACGTCTGGCTGGGCCCCTTTTTCTTTTCTTATTAGAATAATTGGGGAGATTCTCTACCCATGTCCATTCCTGGAAAGTTTATGTAACATAGGAATGATCTATTCCTTGCTGTTTTGGCTGACATTATACATAAAAATATTGAATCGTCACTCTTTTTGAAGACTAAAACTTTGACTACATCTTCAATTGCTCCTTTGGTTAATTAAAAATTCTTAAGACAATTTTTGTGATTTGTATTTTCCTAAATAAAAGCATCCATGTCATCTAGATTTTCAAATATATTGGCATAAAATTTTAATAATATTCTCTTATTGGGACTGTGAGACTGAATTAATAAAAACTACCACCATGCTCCCACTATGTGTTGTCTACAGGAGACACTTTATTTAATTTATTTATTTCCTTATTTATTAATCCTCACCTGAGGATATTTTTTCCACTGCTTTTCAGAAAGTGGAAGGGAGGGAGAGAGAAACATCAATGTGAGAGAGACACATCGATTGGTTGCCTCCAGCATGTGCCCCGACCAGTGCAGGAGATTGAGCCTGCAACCGAGGTATGTGCCCTTTGACTGGGAATCAAACCCGGGACCCTTTAGTCTGAGGGCTGATGCTCTAACCACTGAGCAACACTGGCCAGGGCTATAGGAGACACTTTAGATTCAAAGATACAAGTAGGTTGAAGGTAAAAGAATAGAAAAAAAATCCTTCAAGTTAGAGGCAAATGTGTCAGACTGGATTAAAGTACAGGCTGTTTAGAAGAAATACATATATAAAATGTAAGAATATAACAAGGTTTATGTTAAAGTGTGGAAAAAGTATACCATATAAACACTAAAAACAAACAAAAAGCTGGTATAGCTATATTAATATTACACTAAGTAGACTTTAAAATAAAATTATTAGGCATACACATTTTATAAGGCTAAAAGGCTCAAATCACCAGAATAATATAAAA